CGGGTGACCAACAGTCATATCAACATCGGATACGACGAGCGGCATCAAGCTACAACAAAGGCGGACCAACATAGCTCATTGGCCCACGATGTTGGTCACGTCATTCGGACCTATTGCCCAATGAAATGGAAGTCTTGGAAGGTCATGCCTGACGAGATGCGGATGGAGGTGCGCGGACAGTTGTCGGTATGTATCCTACCTTTTAATTGTTTTCCCTTCAAATTTTATATATTTCTAATACTTAATGTATGTAATGAATTTATTGTAGATGAACTACAATTTAGAGAACCTCCATGACGAGTTGTTGGCCTACGTCAACAGACTCTTTGCTGAGAGGTACAAGCAATGGAAGAGCGACTTGCACCACCATTTTCAGGATGATCCGCAGGTCGCCCTTCAGGAGGGTTACCCGAAGGAGCTTGAGGGGCGGGAGGATAGTTGGGCGTGGCTCTGCGGTCATTTTCAGGAGGCCGATTATGTGGTATTTTTTATATATTAAGTTGAAAATTATTACACGTTTCTTACTAATGTTTATTTCATTTTTTATATTTCATTTGAATTTCAACTAATACGTTTTATTTTTTGTATAACAGAAAAAGGCCAAAGCAAATAAAGGCAATAGGGACAAGAAGACTCTTCTCCACCATTCAGGTTCCAGGCTCTTCTCATATAGGATTAGGGCTGGCAATGGGTCGTGTCGGGTCGGGTTCGTGTCGTGTTAGGATTATACCCGTGTCAAGTTCGGGTCAACCCGCTATGACCTGTTTAATAATCGTGTTGATTTCGAGTTGACCCATTTATTCCTGTGCGGGTTTCGGGTTGACCCATTAACCCACTAACGGCACTAAGTAATAGCAAATTTAAAAAAATAAAAAATTCTAAATGTTGATAATTTAATCAAGTAATTACATTTTTTATATATATAAAATAGTTATTTCATTTTGCCTCTCTCTCTATATATAAAGATTGAGAAAGAGAAATTAAAAAATTAAAAAAATGAAGAAAATGAAGAAGAAACAAAGAAAATAATTATTGCATTTTGAACAACGCCATCAATTGTTTTTTTAGTGGGAGAAATCAAAGAGAGAACATAGTGTTTAACTATTATAAATAGCCTTCTCCAACAATTCGGCAAGGATGACCATTTTTGGATTTTATTTGTGTATTCTTCACATATCAATGCATCACATACTTATTGAGGTTTTTGCTAAGCTAATAGAATAATGAAATTATTAAATATCCTCACCAGTAACATGTCCTTGATTAATTTCGTTTGCAATGTTCACAAAAGGATGTGTTACATGTCCTTGAGGGTTTAGGGTTTAGAGTTTAGAGTTTATGGTTTAGGGTTTAGGTTTAGGGATTAGAGTTTAGGGATTAGGGTTTAGGGTTTAGAGTTTAGGGATTAAAACATTAAACCCTAAACCCTAGATACATAATTAACTCAAATTATAAGGAACAATTACTAACAAATATAATTTAGGGATAAAAATGTAATAATTAAGTGCTCATCAGTTTGTCAAGACATTATAAATATCAAATGTTGTAATATATAATCACAAAGTTATCAACACCAAGATGGATAAGATGCAAGGAGAGGTGGAATTGGCTAGGGTTCGAAACCCATTGGTTGTGCTGAAGCTTCAATTTCTTTAATTTTTTTCGCTGGTTGGCAGGTATGCGTGTGGTCTTACTTTTCTTCAATTTCTTTAATTTTGTAATGGTCTTACTTTTCTTTTCTATTTGCGCTGAGACATGATAACTTTCACTCATTGATTCACATACAGAAAGAAAAAAAAAAAAAAAAAAAAAGCCCGCAAAAAGTACCATTGTTTTATTTTGGGCATACAAAAGCAAAAGTTTGTGGTTTTTTTTATTTGTTTAACGAGACCTTATTTGAGAAATCTCTCAATTGTACCTCAGCTTATCAAGGAAATGTCATTTCGATCAGTCCATACATGAAAGGCATGACGAATAAGTATATACCTTGCCCAAGAAGATGAAATGCGCGAGTATAATCATGTGAATGAGGATTATAACTAATTGTTTGGTTTGTATGTATAAATAATTCGGTAACCGTGTGTTTGGCAAAAGGAAATAAAGACGGGATTTGAAAAAAAATCGGGATTTCACCGATGGAAAAGGGAAATCCATGCGTTTGGCAAAATCTACTAGGTATTTGGCAAATCACTTGCGGGAAATATGGAGGGATTTCCCAATCCAAAATCCCGAGTTTAAATCCTATCATAATTGGTGGAATTCTGAAATTCTCAAGAGCGGGGGAAATTGTTTTTGCTGCGCGCCAACAAATACACCTTATATCAGTTTTCTATCAAGAGTGGGAGAAGAAGGCAGGCCATCCAAGTTTTGCAGGTGAGCTTTCAATCTAGTTGTAATTTTTTTTAATTTTTTTGTTGATATTATTGATGGGTATTCAATTTAATGGGTTTGATCGATCTATCTCTACTTTCTTTTTGTTATATGATTCTTTATCTAATGGGTTTGACCGGGCTCTGTTTGTATTCTACTCTCTGCACGGTGTATTCTTTATCTCTACTTTCTGTTTTGTTATCTGATCTCTTTTGGTTTCTTTTTGAAACTAGATTTCAACCAAAAAAACAGAAGTTAATTATTTTTTAATCTGATAGAGAGTGTTTGGTTTTCAGATTTTGCTATCTATCATCTTTCAATCTAAGACTCTGTTTTGCTCCAATAAAGGTATAGTCTCAACCTATCCTCGCTTTTCAATCTGTGTTGTTCCAATAAATGATAGATTATATGTTGTGAAATTATTGTTTTCTGCACTTTCTGGCTGCAGATTTTTACTCTGTATTTATGATATGGGTTCCTCAGTTGTTATGGCTGAGGAGATTATAATGGGAGGGAGGTTGACTGTATTGAACAATTAAGAGTTAGGAAGAATGCATTTAAGAGTTTATGCACTATTTTGCATGGAAAGGGTGGATTGGCTCCAACAAGAAATGTTTCAATTGAAGAGTCTGTGGCTATTTTCTTAAATATACTTGCGCACAACTTGATGTCAGAGTGGATTCAGTTGGGATGCAACAAAAAAGATGATCACTATAGATGAAGAGAATGTTTGGAATGAGTATGTGAAGGTAATTTACAATGGAATTACACCTTTTTGCATAACTAGAATATTTTTTGTGGTAAATCTAGAGTTATTTAACCTTTTTTTTTTCTTTCTTGATAGTCTCATGAAGATGCTAGAACTTTTCGATATAAAGTAATTGCAAATTGGGATGATATAGTGGATTTATGTGGCAAAGATAGAGCTACTGGAGAGGGTGCTGAAACATGTTCTGAAGCTGCTGAGGTTATGACCCTTGATAGCGAACCGAATAATTTTGTTGACTTGGGTGCTGATACTCAAGGTTTTGAGAATGCTCACATTGATGATGTCTCACCCAATTCTAGTTGTCCAAAGAAAAGAAATCAACCATCTTCTGAAATTCGCCCACCAAAGAAAAGAGGTACTCCTAATGTTCTTGCTGATTCAGTAGCTAAAATGGCTTCATCGTTCGAACAATTTATCAATGCTACCACACAAAAGCTTGATCCATTAGAAGTATATAATGAAGTTAATGCAATTCCAGAACTTAGTCCAGATGAACAATTGAAGGCATGCACTTGGTTTATAGAAAATGAGAAACAATTTCTCATGTTGAAGACACTTCCAGTTGAGAGAAAAAAAGGAATGGTGTTGATGTTTATTTCACCAAGGGCATAAAACACATTTTTCATTCTCATGTTATCTTTATTAATTATCATTAGTTAATTACAAGTACCTTAAACAGTAGTTGGAATGATTGGATTCATTTATTTTGATTTACTGTTACGTTTGTTTTTTTAGTAATATAGATGACTTTGAATTGATATTGATCGAAATTATCAAAACTGTACCTTAAACAGTAGCAGATCCAACCTAGCTCCCAGAATCATATATCCAACCTTTTGAATTGATATTGATCGAAATTGTCTTTGTTGAACAGTGACCTTCTGTCACAATTACAGGACAGCTAGCTTATCATGATTTCTGAGATGCTTTTTTATATTGTACCTTAAACAGTTGCAGATCCAACCTAGCTCCCAGAATCATATATCCAACCTTTTGAACTGATATTGATCGAAATTGTCTTTGTTGAACAGTGACCTTCTGTCACAATTACAGGACAGCTAGCTTATCATGATTTATGAGATGCTTTTTTATTCTTAAGCCTCCTTATTCTCTGCGAGTTTCAATTTTAAAATTCCGTTTATGATTATCCAAACAGGGGAAATTGTAATTTCCGTCATTTCCTAAATTCTATATACAAGATATCCAAACACTGGAAATTTGGAATTGACGTAATTTGAAATGATGTGATTACAAATTCCGTCATTTACAAATTCTATGCAAATTAGAATTCCTTCATCCAAACGCAGCCTAAAAGTATCAAAATTTGTTTGTAAGCAGTCAAATGTGTTTTTTGTTAAAACATATATGTAAATCAAAATGTTTAATTACTTTAAAATCATCAAACACAATTACGGAGGTAAGCTCAAACGAAATATTGTAATGACGTGAGTGTACTGTTGTGTAGATACAGCTGCACCAAAATGGGTTCAACTGCATCCTCAACTTGTGATACTCGCAAGTGCACGAGCCGTTC